TTTTCCCAGTTGTCACAGTGATGATTTTTATAGTTAACTTTTCAAACGGAGATCCAAAATTTACATGTTGAAATGGACTTTTTGATTGTTAGGTCTTTACAGTCCATTTTAATATAGAGAACTCTATTTTTTTATTTTATGCTATTTTCCTCTGCCAATGGATTTTGATAAATGCACACATTTATGCCATTACCCAGATATTTAGAAATTTATATCACATCATGAAATTCCCTCATGCCTCTTACAAACCCCATGCAGAAGGAGATACTATTCTGATTTCTATTACTCTGGGTTGGTTTGCCAGTAGTAGAGTTTCATACTGGAGACCTATAGAGTGTAATATTTTGTGTCTTATTTCTTTCAATGAGCAGATCTCTGTGAGATCAAGGTCAACCTACTGTACATAATGAATTCCAGGCCAGTTGCGACTACAGGGAGACATGACTCAGAAAACAAATGAAAATCAGAAAAAAATTTATATGCTCATAGTGTACAAAGTTGTTTTATTTTCCTAATTTTTTGCTGTGACCAAATACCTGACAGAAGCAACTCAGGGAAGTGAGTCATATCAGTTACTCATCTGTTGTGATAAAATACCACCGGGTTCCCTACAGGGTCATGCATGTTATTGCAAATGATAGGATTTTCTTCTTTTTAAAATTTAAGATAGATTTTTACATGTGAGTATTTTGCTTCCATGTATACATGTGCACAAGATGCATGTAGTGTCTGTGGAGGCCAGAAGAGGTTGTTAGATCCCTAAGAACTAGAGCTACAGAGTTGTGAGCTGCCATGTTGGTGCTCATAACCAAACCCAGGTCTTCTGCAAGAGCAAGTACTCTTCACCACTGAGCCATCTCTCCAGCCTGGACTTCCATCTTTTAAAAGTCTTAATAGTATACCCTTTCCCAAATGTATATAGTTCATCTAAAAAATCTATTCACCCTAATGGACACTTAGGTTGATTGATTCTTTTCTTGTTGAGTGGGAACAATGCAGGAATGAACATAGGTGTGCAGATGTCTCTTCTATGTACTGATTACATTTCCTTTATACCTGGAGGTGGGATTGCAAGGTAGTTCTGTTTTTGATAGTTGAAGATCTTCATACAATTTTTATAATGGAGATGCTTACTTACATTCCCACCTACAGCATCCAAGACTCCCATGTTTCCAGATTTTTGTTCACACATACTATTTTTCTCTATTCTAACTTGCAAGGTGTTGATATATTCTTGGGGTTTGATTTGCATCTGCCTGATGACTAAAGATGGGAGTTCCTTTTCATATACCTGTTGACCATTTGTATGTCTCCTTTTGAAGAATGTATAATCAAGTCTTTGTCAATTTTAAAATCAGGTTTTTGTCTTCTTGCTGATGAGTTATTTTAATTAGTATATTTTTGATACTAGCCCTTATTAAGTGTATGGCTTATAAGTATTTTCCATTCCCAAGTTGTCTCTTTATTTTGTTAACTGCTTCCTTTGATATATAGAAACTTTTGTGTTTGATGCTATCCATTCTCTTATTGGTGGTTATATAGTGTATCCAGGTTGTGATTGTAATGGTTAAAGCTATGAGCGTTCATTCTTGCCAGTGTCTTTCATGGACATTTGGAAGAGATCAGGTTCAGGTCTAGACTATCCCTTGTTGTATTGTTGTCGAATCTGTTTCTTTTGTGATGAAATTTAATATTTTTCTGAATAATAAGCTTCATATAAGCTAGATACTAAATATCTTAGTCAACTTGTCTGTTCAAAGTGTGGTTCCCCACTCTCTTCTCTCTCTTACATGTTTATTTTTTCTGCAGACTGGTATTAGTGGTGATCTCGTATTGTAACATGTAGTACTGTGGTAATATGAGAGCAAAAACATAGAGAGCCTGAAAGGTTTGGCTGTATCACACAACGGTTTGTGTTGTCCAACAGAGCTATATGACTTGAGAGAAAAAAAGTATTGCTTGGGAGAAAAGTGTGACTTTTCTCAAGGAATCTTTGGGGGAATGGCATGATATGCCAAGTCACTTGTTTTTAAAGAACACCAAAAAAGATTATATTTCCTAAGATTCATGCTTTCAATATTTACACATATCTTGGGTAGGAAGGAGTATTTTGCTGTTTCATATTTCTACCTTTTTAATTATTATTTTAACTTCTACATTTTTGAAAATTGAAGGAAGAAACTGATGTAGCGCCTCATACATCAGCAATCAAAGTGGCCACTCTTCTTTACCATAATACCAGTTTTGCTTAATTCTTTTTCGTTACTTCACCTGATTACTAACTCAAGCTGATGCCAACCTGGAGCAAACAGAGCCAGGTCCGTTGTATAGTCAGGCACCACTCATGTAACAGAGTGGTTCATTTCCAGTTAGGCACAGTGATGTTACCATTGATGGTAAATATCTCTGGAAAGTAGACTGTTAATAACTTTAATTATAATAAAAATAATTCAGACTCACAGGAAAAATGCAAATAGAAGAAACTGTGACCTCCCATTTAACATTTGCTTCATTTTAGGTTTGTTTAAGAAATCAAATGAAATGCTGGGTTTGGTGGCTCATACCTTTAATCCTAGAACTAGGGAGGCAGAGACAGGTATAGATATCTGTGAGATCAAGGCCAGTCTGATTTACATATTGAGTTCCAGGCCAGCTGGGGCTACAGGGGGACAATGTCTAAAAAGAGAAAAGAAATCAAGCATCATGTATGAATTCCTTTTATCTAATTCCTGATCCTATTTTCCTCCCTTCTGCCCTTGAGTTAAGGTAACAAAAACCACAGAGTCTGTATTCAATATAAATATGTCTTTCAGTTGAGTCTTACCCAAGCATTTACATGTAGAAATATGTATTTTAGTATTAATTCTTATTTTTATTTTTATGGAGAGATTGGTTTCTATGTGTAGGTAAGTT